TGATGCCAAATGAAATTTTGTTGTATCTCTTGTACAATGACAATAAAACATCTTCTTCTTCGATGTGCAACCTGACAGCTGAATGGTTAGGGCGCATACCACATGAGTGCAAAAGTCAGAAATCTCTGGTTCAATTGTCAGGTGTGGACCATGTAGACGCCAATAATGCAATAACAGCCGATAACGTAATAAATTTGCACTTTTGAAAATGTAATAGGCCAATAACGTAATATCTGGCCAATAACGTAATAAAGGTCCTGAACTGATAACATCATATCTAGCCAAAAGTTATGACATTATCGGTTCAGGACTTTTGTTGGGTTATCAGCTGTTATTACGTCATTGGCTTCTGCAGACCATTTGCTGCATATCATCTCCTTCGCCTTACACACTGTTGGTACCCCTCGGTTAATGAAAGAAAAACCCACAGTGGTCACAGAAAAAACTTGAATCTGACAAAAGTAATAATAAATTAAAATTCTATGAAAATTAAGCAATGAAAATCAGGCATTGCTTTTGAACCGTGGTTCAGCAGAATTATTTTTTAAAATAATTTCATGAAAGAGGCCTGGACAAAAATGATGGTAGAGGTTCTTCTGGGCTCTTTTTGTACCGTTTGTATTATCCGTCTCCTCGATTTGTCATCGATGTTCCTCCTGCGGCCACATCCACAGAGGTCGGCTACAGTCCCATGGATCTTACATTTCTGAATGCTGTAGTCACGGGAACATCCAGCTGCTTGGAGATGGTCTTACAGCCTTTACCTTTAACAAGCTGCTCTATCATTTTCTTTCTAATCTCCTGAGACAACTCTCTGCTTGGCTTCCTCTGGTCCATGTTTAGTGTCACCAAACAGCACAGTGACTACTTGTAACCCTATAAATAGGCCGACTGACTGATTACAAGTTTGTAGACACCTGTGATGCTAATTAGAGGACACACCTTGATTGAACATGTCCCTGTGGTCACATTATTCTCGGGGTACCATAATTTTTGTCCAGGCCTGTTTCATGAGTTCATTTTTAAAAATAATTCTGCTGAACCACGGTTCAAAAGCAATGTCGGATTTTCATTGCTTAATTTTCATAGAATTTTTATTTATTATTACTTTTGTCAGATTCAAGCTATTTCTTTGACCGTTGTGGATTTTTCTTTCATTAACTGAGGGGTACCAACTATTTTGTCCATGTGCGTATATCCTGTCGTTAAAATGCCCAAAAAGACGAGACAAAAATCAAAAGGATAACAGAATTGATTCTAATTCCAGCTGTGTTGACCGCATTTCATGGCAATTAACCCGCAAGACATTTCATCCCATGTCAGTGCTTTGGAGGTGCTGAAGGGAGTCATCATGGCACCTGCATGAACTTTCAATCCATCCAGCAGTTGCTGAAATATCTCCGCCTGGATCACAGCGTGGATGAATGGCACCATCGCTCCTCCAGCCGTGACACTCGCACAACTACGACAGACGTACCGGAATATTGGAAAAGGCACTTTGCATATTCCGCAGTGGGACAATTAGTCAGAGGGGCGCTTTAAGTTAAATTGCACTCTATATATAAAATCCGATACTGTATATCAACTCGGTTCATTCTGTAATGGAGATTGTTTTTCCCCTAACTAAATGTGTACTTGTGAAAACTCTAAATTGAGACCGGAGCGCGAGTCCGGTCCCCTCAGTGAGACTACCGGACCACTTGGCCGCTGTTTGTAAGTGTTGCAGACTCGAGTATCGATCTGCTTTGCAATCAATCAAACGGTGAGTGCTTGTCAGGGTCAGAGGAGACACTAATATCTTGGGCAGATGTGGATTTATGGCTGCATGTGTCGTTCCTCTCCTCCCATTTTCGCTGCCTTTCATCTATTTTGTCACCCCCTTTCCTCTTTTTTTTTATCAGTATGCTTGAGCACAGCGGTGTCCCACTGGGTTCGCTGATAGTAGCTGCGCTCTTTTTTTATTTTTTTTATAGGCGATCCCTGCTGTCCATTCATGCCTCCACTCACGCTCCTCTTTACATTGTCTTCCTCTCTTTTTCTGGCTTGCGTGAGGAACTCATTCATCCCTCGTTCGCCGGCGCTCATCTACAGTCCATCCACACAAGCTCCCTCAGTCTCGTCAGAGCTGCCTGGAATTATTTACTGCTTAATGGCCTACAGCAGCTCACACCAGCCCAGCGGTGCTTTGCTTTATTTATTGATTTTCATTCCTTTTGTCTTAGTGCGTGCGCGCAGGAGAAGCACACACTAAAAGATAAAAAGCCCAAGGACGTCCTGCACATTCAAGCTGCTGATGAAATGACCTGTGGATTGAAAGATTGATGGACTTGATGTTTGAAGGCTAATCGGCCATTACTGGGCGACTCGTGTGCTGTCTGTGCTTCTGTCTGTTTGTATGATGTATGCATGCACCTGTGTGTGTGTGTGTGTGTGTGTGTGTGTGCACATCCATCACAATGACCAACACTCACCATCCTCCATCATGGACTACAGTGATTATATGTCTCTGAACAGTGTGATTCTTTGCTACTGGGCAACGGCTTCTTCAAATAAAAGGGAAACTCAAGCTGCACAGCCGAGCATTACGTAAATAAATAGGATGTCCACATGCAGCATTGATCTGTGCTAAGGCAGTATCGTCACAATGGTTTTATTAGTAATGGGTCTTCTGTTCCCATTTTATCAATAAAAAGCTACACTTGCGTATTTCTCCGTGACGCTCTCCATAAAACTACATAAAAACACATGACAAATTCATGAACGTTCTATTTTCGTTGCCAAAAATTTGGATCTTTAAACTCTTTGAACATCACAAGTCTACCAACGCACCAAACTCGCTGCACGAACTCCTTGAAGACACTTCTGGGAAGTTAGAATTGAGTGTTAAAACGGACCCCAAGGAAGCTTAATCGAGGATCTATGCAACTGCAATTCTTTTTTTGTTGTGTGTGTGTTAGTTATCTAAACTAAATCCAGGAGTTCAACGGGTGGTTTTATATAACATTCATGACCAATACTTTGCTCAAAAATGACGTTCCTGTTCTATGTTTTAAAGGAAATCTTCTGGATTGCATTTGTTCGTGTTGCATCACAAAAACATTTCTGATCAACATATCCTTGTGCAAGCATTGTTCTGCTTTCCAACTTTCAGCTAATCAATCATCTATTAATAGATGGGGCAGGAGTCATCACCATGGCAACTTGTTACAATAGAAGAGAGGCTTCAGACCTGTTGCAGAATGGTGTGTTTTAACCGTAACAGGTTCCTAAAGCAAAACAAGTAGTATTGGTGGAGGGGGGAAAAGGAGCAACATCTGGGGCTGAAAAATGAAGCCAGCATGAAATAATGCAGTTCCTCAAATGGCCACTTGAGGCTGGCACTAAAAGTGAGTCAGTCATCATAGACACCCAGGTTAAAGTGGGTAATTTTACAGCAGAAATAAACGTGTTTATAAAGCTGCTTTCATTTCTGTAGCTAATTTTCCTGTTTATGTCAACAGTAAGGTGGTGATTTTTTTTTTTTAATATAATGCATCTGTTTAAACTGTATTAACGCTCAAACTTTTGCATAATTAGGGATGTGACTGCTTTGAGTGGCATGTCCATGGCTCGCTTTAGCTCCACTTCACTTCTTTGCTCATTTTTGGACTAGCTAGGAGTTAAAAGACGAAGCCTGAGTCATCACACTGAGCTTCAAAGCTGCTCTTAACAAAACCAAAAGAGGTTTCTCCATCTTTACATACAGTCTTTAGTGGAAAAAATAAAACAAATCTGCAAAAAATGGTTCCATTCAGGACACAACCCCCCCGTTCTCCTGGTTGTCCAGCGTTGGACTAATGCCAGCATGAACCCTCCAACCTCCCAAAGTCGGCTCTTTAAATGTGGACACTACCATGAATGAAAATCTTTTTTTTTTTCCTCCCAAACTTAATAGTTGATGCAGTTTAGTTGTACAGGAGCATCATGTTTGGGAGACAGGGATGGTGTTTTCAATCATCCATCCTCTACTGATTGCCCAATTATTTAGATTTTTGACTCCTTAAAACAAAACAGAGTGTCAATTTTAATCTGAAGCATATTTCAACAATTTACCTGACCTGAGGGGGTGAAACTATTTCACAAGAAAAACGTCAAAAACCATCAGTGGAGAAAAATCAGAAAACATTAAACGTAATTTTACACACTGCTGGGGGACGAGTTTGTCTTCTAAAGGTGGAATTGTACATTTTGTTCAGAGGTATTTCTGGTTATGTGCCTACGACTCCTCTTATCCAAAAGTTTGAGTAAGAAAAAAAATATTTAAAAATGAGTGCATCGTGGATCTGTGACTAAAAAAAGAAATCTCTCGTTGGGGTGTTAATTAGGAGCCATACTGTAGTTTCAGAGCGTCTCAGAGGGAACTGACCTTTATGATCTTTCACTCTCCAGCACTCCTGTTAATACTGAAAACAGCAGCACAGTCTAAAGCTCCTGATATCATTTTATTGTTCTCTGCAGCACCTCAACACTCCCTCTCCCTTTTTCCTGTCCTTGGCTGTGGATGAGCAACCTTTGCCTTGAGCTGGTCTCTGGTTAAGAGTCCATTTACCAAAGAAAATGACCGATTATATAACAGAGGGTAATAAATAAAGACACAGCCCAAAAAAATGGATGAGATGAATGGCACAGGTGGATGGCACCAGTGTCCCCCATTCAGTGCCTCCACGTCCCCCCCCTCCCCTCCTCTCTGTGAGCCTGATGATGATGGTGATATCGCCACCAATCCGCCCATTGCATTTTTAGATCAATGAGAAAGAGAGAGAGAGGATGAGGTGGTGGTGGTGGTGGGGGGAGAGAGCTGTGTATTTTCAGCCTCTCTGACAGCTGTGCAGATACCCCACGTACGTGCTCACATCAGACACTCAGACACAGAGAGCCAGCAGAGGCTGACGTCCCTCTTTTTTCGCTCTGCAGACTCGTGCGTGACCCAGCTTCACGGATTTCCCTTCAACTTTTTTTTGTGTGCGTATTTTCTTTTTTTTTCTTCCTTTTTTTATACCGTTTTCCTCATCCCTCCATCCATCCATCCGAGGCTTTGGAATGAACTGTCTCCCTGCCTGCGTCGTTTCCATGTCAGCATGGGAACTGCCGTGTCCAAGAGGAAGAATTTAAGAAACGATGCGATATCTTCTGTGGCAGCAAAAGTTAGGTGAGTGACGCTCGGAGCTCTCCGCCTTTTTTCTCTCTCTTACGCGTTTCTAAATGGCACCATCTGGAAGTCTGTAAAATGTTAAGCCTTCGGATAGGAGCCGGGCGAAGTTAGAAGGTGTGTGTGTGTGTGTGTGTGTGTGTTTTGATGAATTGCCACTGCGCTATCCTGGATCCAGCCCGCATGTCTTGCAATGCGCAGAGAAAAGGCTCTTTGCGCTTTTTTTCTGGTCTGCCGACTGTCCCGTCTGGCCCGGGTCGTGCGTCTGAGCTAAATATGAGCCAAAAATCTCCCTTTCTTCTCCCCCCAAACTGCACCTGTGATCAGACAGTGTGGTCCCCTACAGGGGAGGTCTTCCTAATGCTGTGTTGTCGGGTCCAAACGAGCTGTTGGAGGATGCGCCCCTGGCACGTCGCTGCTTTTACTGATGTTGTGAATGAAGCATCATTGTATAACCAAAGTCATGCAGAGGCAAAGCGGGACTGCCGTGACTCACAGAAACCCTGGTGCGTTTTTCTCACTTGGGCATCATCGTGTGCATTAAACCGGAATGCCATTTGATTGTTACTGCAATTTAAACCAGAACAACAACAACAAAAAAAGGCTTTTCTGTGCTGGCCGCATCGAGCCGCGAGAAGGCTGCCTTCACACCCCGGCGGGGCAAATAACCCCGATGTCAATTAATCAATCACTGCAATCGATTGTGTCTCCTCGCTGATCACCTATCACGGTCACTTAGGCTACTGGGTCAGGCGCGGAGGGCAGCGGCTGGTAATTTATGCAAGCAGTGAGACTCAGACTGTTTGGCAGGAATCCAACCCGTCCAAAGCTGTTAACTCTTGAGAGAGATCCGCATCCAGCTGTTTTTTTTTCTTGGGTAATGGCACCATATATATTCTGCTGTGCGAGGCTGCCGCTGCAGCTTTGGCTCGTAACGCACGTGTGACTGTGTGTTCGTATGTGGCATGAAGCGCAGACAGTGAGCCACAATCCGGAGTGAGATCAGAATACAAATTCAGCATCTCTGGGCTTCACCAGTGGCCCCGCAGCAGGATCCAGCGTGTGATTCTAATTCAGTCAATGAATGACCTTGACTTGTGCAGACTCCAACAACCCACAGATGTGGGCTGATGTGCTATTACGTCATTCCCTCAGTCTTCCCTACATTAGGCGGTGAACCTATAGCAGTGCAGTTTGTGTGCCACCTTGAAAGGAATATGTGATATGCAGAGGATGTCCGGAGCAGGCAGCCTACTGTATAAAGATGTGTAGATATATGTGTGTGTGTGTGAGAGAGTCCATCTGCAGGCTTACTGTAATTATTTCAGGTCAACAGTGGATCCACTTCCACATGTTTGATTCAGCTGCTGAGGATGACGAACCCCAAACATGCTCTCTCAGATGCATTGCACTTTTCATACGTCTTCTCTCCCCCTCTCCCTCCTTCACACGTTCGCACAATTCAGAGTTTAATTTTTCGGACTTAATGGCAGAATGAACCTCGGCTCCAGCGGAGGGGAAATGCAGCTGAATCACATCCAATATTTATCAGCCTTTCACCCAGCACATGACCTCCATGAATGCGGAAGCGAGCTCTCAAAAACTGGTCTCTTTCCATCTGTTCAAGTCACACACACACGCTCCAACACGTCTGCATGAATACAGTGAGGCGTTTGTACCGTCTTCGTTTAATCTACATGTGTTGGTTTCTTCCTCTGTTCTGTCTGACGGAGAGGCTGGGCTCGTCTCTGCAGATAGAGGCTTCAGATCAGTGGGTTTTTCAGTTTTGTCTTCCATTGACAGTCACTCATGTAGCAATTTCTTACATGTAATACATCATTTCATGTTTAGTTTTCCTTTCCAAGGATCTCTTTTGTACATTTTGTACTAATCTTGCCAGAACACTTAAAGTAGAGTGGTGAAATGCACAACCGTGCCCTCGAGTGAGACATTTGAAAACAGGAATTATCTGCCTGGTAATTATTGGGATTTAAGATTCTCTACCACTGATACGAGGCCAGACAACTAATTTTTTGGTATTATATTTTGATGAGGCGGTAAAAGGTGTGTTTATCGCTAATTGGTTGTAACACTTGAGGAAAACAGACGAGACAAATGGATGCATTTTGGATTATAGCAGGTCAGACAGGGTAATATGCACCTCTGTTCACCTGCAGTCTTAGCTGACCATATGGCACATCTCCAAGTTCATGCATGCTGGGATTTGCATGAGCAGTGAGTCTGCGTGCACACAAACAAACACACAGTTGTGCTTCTGTCACTTCAGAGGACATTACATTAAACTTACATGCACTTACTCTAACCCTTATCCTAACCGAAGCCATCAGACTAATATTGAATAATTTATGTTATGCTGACTTGCTTTTTGTCCCCAAACAGTGACTGAGATCAAGTGATACAAGGTTTTAGAATCTCACAGGTAAATGGCAGCAGGTGCATATATCTCTATGGAAAGTTGTCAGAACATCTGTAAACATAAAGTGGAATAAGCCACAGTAAATACAATTGATCTATGTGACACACACACACTTGTTAACCTGCACAGCACGTAAACTCCTTCATCATTCCTCGCAGCGGCTGTTGTCTGATTCTCTTGCATAGAACATTAGTTGAACAAAAGAACATGAAAGATTTATTCAAAAAGCTGACTTGTTTGCGGAGGCCACGGACTGCGTTTGTTCCACTCAAAGTTTTTTGGGAACAACCGACAACCAGGATGTGCTCTGCAAACTGAGAACCACCGTAATGACCTAAAACAACTTCATATGTGTAGTTTCATAGAAAGTTTCTTGCATTTGAGAAAAGCTAAGTCAGGAGTAAAATTTAAACATGAAAACAGCGGCGATGCTAGCAGTTCTTGTGATGCTGTACTTAGTGGTGCTTTGAGGTGAATGCTAACATGCTTATGCTTAGCAGCTGTACACTTGTTTTACATTTGCTCACAATCACCAAGCACAGAGTGAAGCTGAGGCTGATGGGAATGTTGGTATTTGGTCAAAAACCAACTGGACAAATTCAACTTAAGCCTCAAAGATCACCAGAGTGACTACAGTTCAACCTGAAGGCCAAATTTTAAGCAAACTCATCCAACAGTCAGACACATTTCACTCAAAAATCACAACTATTGCCACTAAAGAAAAAGTCAGAGGATTGCCAAAATCAGCACACTTGATCCTCTGGAGATCATGAATGCCTCCAGAAAGTTTCATCCCAATCCATCCAATAGCTGCTGAGATATTTCATCCTGGACCAAAGCAGAAGACAGACCGGCACTGCCATCTCTAAGATGACTTCTGCTGCGTCTTTGTCCTACTGATAGGTGTGCCAAATTGGAAAACACTCATAAGGGTCATTTTGACAAGCGCTGACAAACGGCCTGTTTGTTTTCCATTGTGAGGACTTGTTAGAGGACACCACGCTGGTGTGAATGACCGAATCCAAAGGAACGCAAACAATACCTCGGATGCACTCAGGAGACGGCGGCGTCTTGCACCCGTGGTCGAGCGTGCCTGTGTGCATGTTTATGGATTGCTGGTTATGAAACAGGTCACACTCTCCCCTCCAGCAGCTCATGAGAAGAAGCTAGCGACTGAGAGCAAGGGATAAAAAAAAAAAAAGAAGAGGAGAGAGAAAAGGGGGAGAGATTACCTCTAATTTACACAGCAGAATTCTGCGACACTGAGTGAGAAAGCAAATGCTTTGATCTGTCGATCAGCCTGTGCTGCGGTTCGGCTGAAGGGCAGTGGACAACAGCGCTCGCGAAGCTGCGAGGGTGTGAAAAATGGCATGAAAGATGAAAGGATCGGTTTTTACAGACGGATGCAAATGAAATATTGTGTCTTGGTTTATTCAGGACGGTCAGGTGTGACTTTGTTGTTGGCCTGCAGGAACTCGGTTGACGGGGTCCGGGCGATGCTACGTTGCTCATTTTTATTCTGATTTACTCGAGCTCAACAGCCAGACACTGTCTTCCCTCCTAAGCTCTGAGAATCTGATCATTCTGCAGTGAAATCGTGGTTCATTTTGCTTTCTTGTTCCTTTTTTTAAGTCATTCATTTATTCATGTATATTCTTTGCATAACCATTCAAGTAAAGACAAATCTCTTTCTATTACATCTATCTCCCTCTTCATCTCTTTCCCTCTCCCTTTGTTCAATCAAACAGGGTAATTCTTTGCTCAAAACATGCTGAATGTGGCAGATTTCATTGATTACAGGCTGAACAATGATTAGGACTCCAGCAGTGCAGTGGGATTGTTTGTCTGCGTGTGCTGTCGAGCATGTTTATTCTATTTATAATTCATTCTTTGACAAAACAATCTGAACATGTTGTGGCAGAGACATAGATGTTCCAAACTGACATTTATTCTGAGCGATTTTTTTGCAGATTAATTGCAAAGTTTCGCCGTTATAGTGTGAAATACAGTTCGACTGTCGCTGTTACTTTTTACAGTAACCAGAGAGCACAGTCATCCACCAAGGCCAAGCTTCATCTCGCAATTTTAAAGAACCTAAATCGGATCCGCACCATTCGTCTTGCCGCGACAAACGGCCCTTAAAACATACCAGCACCTTGGCAAGAATAATCCGACCCGTGACTCAAACAGTTTGGAGTTTAGTAATGTCTACTCAACCTGAAGTTCAGGAAGATGTGATCCAGGACACAAGCGTATGAATAAATGGACCTTGAGTGACAACTGCTGCTTTCATGGCCATGAATGGTTAGTCATGCTCATCTTTTTTGGCTTTGCGCTGAAGTGTACCGTAAACAACATTTCTCAAGTTTGCCGCCTTTTAAATTGTAGAATTTATTTTCATTTTACATTTTTTTTGTTGTTCACAGTGGAATCTATTTGAAAATTATGTGCAAATAATATAATTACTAATAGATTCTGTTCACTGTGAACACTAGTCAGGTTTCAGTCCCAGTGTTGTGCAAATTTTAACACACTTTGCAGAGTATTAGCGAAAGAAAAAGCA